AATAATAATATGTTATTATATTTCATCATTTGTACACAGAATATCGAATGGCATTTTCAAATGCGATGGTAACGGCAAAAGTTAAAGCAGCCTATCATATTATTAATTATTGTAAAAAAATTACTTTTATAATAGTTATGTATAAAATCATAAGATATACTTAGTCATATTAGCTGACAGTTCGTGTCCGCTTAAAATCGATTTTCACTTGTAAGTATTTATCACTGAATTCAAATTTAACATTTTTTTTTTTTCAGAAGCCAACCTAATAAATCAGTGCACTCAACACCTACTGCATAGTGGTATATATATTGTGAATAAATTTTAAAAATAAGTATCTTTGAAAAGCTTATTATCTGTGTATAGTTAAAGAGAAAAAGATTGTTATAGTTAATTAGTGTTATGTATTTTGATCATCAGTCTACATATCAGATTTCAAAGGTTTGAGAGTCCTAATTTTTAGGTAGCACGCAGAATTACCGTCTTATGAATTTATCGATGTAATGTATGAAAATTAATAAATAATATATTTTTATAAACAACTATAATCTTTATATTTAATAATTATGTTTAATTTAAGTATCCAATTTCATCAAAATTTGAATTATAAAAGACTATAAATATGAATTTTTTTATACTATGATTATATAATTTCAATGTCTATTAACTAGGGTGTGTACTACTTATAAAGAGCTCTTATAAAAATGACAAGCCCTTTTTATACTAGATCTGTTTTTACTCAGAATACATTTTTTCCTTTTTTTCCTCCCGATAATTATGAGAAGTTCTTGTAATTTTATGATTTTGATCTCTTAGAGTACTAATTTTAAACCAACAGCCATCTACAAAGTTAAATTTTGACGCAATTTTACTGCTGCAAAATTTGTTTACAGACCAGGTTAGGTTATTAATAATCAAGTTAGGATAGGATATTTTATAAATTCATTTACATTTATATTAAAAAATATATATATATCTTGCCATAGTGCCATGTTTTAACTTATATCAAAAATAGTATAATGTTTTTATGAAAAACATAAGAAGTAAAAATCGTTACATTATGATTAGTGTCTTCACAATATAACGTCACATGTATAATATATACTCTATAATGTATAATGTATAGGTATCTACTACCTACTTTGGTAATCTGGAACAATATATATATATATATATATATATATTAGAACGTGCAATAATTAATGAAAGATTTGTAAACAACAGTCATAGAAATTAATTTGGTTTACAGTCAATTCAATTTACCAGAATACATAACAATCTGTTTATCTCTTAGTTTTGATATTGTAATTAGGTTAATCTGTTAGTATGACTATAAATAATTCAACTATTCGACTTTAATGCTTTGAACACAATCCATAATACATTAAGATGTGAGGTGTACTCTAGTAAAAAACTATGTCTAAAACACAGTATTTTCAAAATTCACAATTACAACAGTTACATATTATAGTATTATGTTCCTAATGTATTAAAACTTAATACTAATGAATCCCTTGTAAAATTAATACACACATTTCCCAATAATATTTTATTATTATAATTTATTGAAACTAGGTTTTGTTTTTTTCTAACTAAAAATACAATTTGAAGACACATGTTATATAATTTAAAACATCTATATAACAAAATTCATATATAATATAAATTTACCATGAGTAATATATGGATATTTATTTGCATATGAATAACATTAGAATGTTAACGGTAAATAATAAAATATAATATATTAATATTACAATATATTTTTATATTATTAGCACATGACTACATGCTAATATTATGAACAACTTAATGTTCAGTTAAAAAATACTTAGACTTGTTATGTTCATAAATAAATAAAATATTTTAACAATAAAACAATATATGCTTGTCGTTAGTAATATATTTTAAATCAATGTTAATTTACTAAAATATTAGTTAAATTAATAAAATTTTTCTGCAATATCCAACTAAAACAATGGGTTCGATAAATTATTGTGTAAAAGACATCTATGTTTATTTCTTTCAGTTAAGATCGATAGTTTTTCATTTTTTTCTAGGATCAAAATTTAAATCATATTCATAATTATTACACTATTTATCAATTTGGAATACATAAAAAAATATAAACTGTAAAGAATAAGAAAATATTAGGATATATTAGATAGATATCAAAACGTAAGACTAAATCATTGAAGAAAAATAAATAAATAGATACAACGCAAAATAACACTAGTAAGTTTTTGGTATTTCACCAAGTAAATTGGCAAATTTATTGTTGTTGTTCTTTTGTATTTTAATTTATGATTATGGTTGTTTTTGAAATAGGTGAACTATCGTTCCAACTGAACTATTCAATCAATCATCATTTAGGAAATTTCTATAATTTATTTTGATAAATTACATAAGTGTAGCTTTACACACACACACACACACACACACACACACACATATATATATATATTGATCTTAAGAAAGTTGATATTGTTTTATGCTTAGACAAAATAGTTTTATATTAATTGTATGTATAATAATTTGCTTGTGGCAAAACTCAAAAATATATATTATGTTATAGCTTATTTTTTTAAATAAATTCTTAATTCTAGAAATATAATGTCAATAAATTTTATCTTGAATACTAAATGTATTCTAATTTAAAGTATTCAAATCTATAACATATTAATACGAATAATTTGGATAAAACTAAAATAAATGTTATTTGAAACTATATTACTATAATTTTACTTCAAATTCAAAACAAAATCGATGGAGATAATATGCATTCACCAAGTAGATCGATAAAATGATATGTATAATAATTCTATTTATAAGAAATACTGTTTTAAATGTATTGCTATTCTTATATTCTTATTTGTGTAATAACGGCGTATTGTACATCAATAAAATTGAATAACTTTCTAGTACTTTTTACATGTCATGAATATTACATTACATTACTTTACATTATTTATATTACTATCTGTATTATGCAGATATTTGTAAAGAATTAAAATTAATGAAATAAAAATGCAGGTAATTCAAATATTTACTATTTTCTTTTATATTAAATAACATAAAAACTTAATGCAAATAAAGATAATATGATGTGTTTTTTTTTATGTTTTTGTAGCATATTTTGTTATTTTTTTATCGTCATTCAACAAGTACAATAAAAATTTGTAACATTATTGTATTCATGGTCGTGTATAGATTAATATATATTATAGTATTTAATTGAGTTAGCAATATGTTTTTTTTTTTTTTTTGTAATATATTCGTACATTTAAAGTAATATAAAAAAATAATTATTAATTTATTTTATGAAGTTTATTTTTGTATTTTTAGTGTATATCATAACAATACATATTAAGTAAGTTTTAATAAGTAAGTGAATTTATATATTATATATGTATGATCTTTACTTTTTTAATATATTTTGATACAAGCCAAAATATATTATGTTTTTATTATGTTATAATATACTATTAATTCCAAAAAAATAAATGATCCAAACGTTTTACGCTAACTACGAACTAATAAAATAAGTTATTTATTCCAATGTTTAATTAAAATATGTATTTATAAAATATCTAATCTAATATACAATTTATTCACCTATTTATTTTGATACCGACATTAAAAGAAATATAATATATGGGGCCCACATTGTCTCATTTTACAAATATACTAAATATTTATTTTTTGATATATATATATATCCAAAACTTAATTAACAAACTTATACTTAATAATACTACTTCTATTACAGGTATTTAAACATTGTTTAAAAATTTGATTATAAAAAAATAAAACAAACAGTACTTTTTAAGAGGTTACTTTTGGATTTATTTTTAATTATTCTACATAAAATATCTCGATAGTTATTATGTAACTAAGCATAATACTATGGTATCAAATTTTCACATTAACTGATATACAATCACTTAAAAAAATAACTGAAAAGATTTATTGCTGTCTTCAGTTTTAAATAATACCTGATGTAATATTGGCGGTGTTAGGAACAAATTTAATAATAAAAAAATAATCTAAATAAAGATTAAGATAACAACACTAAATTTTATCAAAGAAACAGATAAGCAAAGCAAATTCATCTAATTAAGAGATAAAAGATAAAAATATTTCATCCAGATTAATCACAGATAATTATAGAAATAAAAATAAAAATAATTTATGTATAAATAATATATACCTTTATAAACATTTCCGTGTAATACGTTTATTTTAATTTTAATTTTATTTATTTCATGTTATATATCACTGTACACCTATTTAGCACATTATATATGCAATCAATATATTGTAATTTGTGAGTAACAATTGATTTCCAACTCAAGACTAAATAATGATATAACTTCTCTTCGTAGATTATATCACAACACGACATAATGTTTATCGCAATGAAGGAAAAATAAACGTAATTAGACAACGAGGGGGAAAATGTTTAATTTAAAAATAATATTTACATGTATTGTATTTTATAATATATCCTAAAATAATACACATATAATCGCACACTAAAATTATTTATTAACGGCATTGAAAATATATTTATGGGTATACGAAATAATGTTAAATATTTTTATACACGTACGTTTTAAAAATAGTTTTCAGATAGTTAATAGTACGCCAAGTGGTTATAAATTTTTGTTAGTTTCTATTAATTCGTATTGTAATAAAAGTTTTTGAATATTTATAAAATTATGGGAAATAACTCTGAAAATAATAAACAACAATAATATAGTCTATAGATAGGTACCTACTTACTACTTATTTAATATAAGTGAATTAATATATTCTGTCTATGTTTATAAGAATTATAATTGAATACAGACTATTAATAAATAGGAAAAATGTATAGCATTTTATCAATTATATTTGTATCCCGTGCTATTTTATATATAAGCTGTATTTGAGACAGGGAAAAATAAAAATGAAAACTTTAGCTAATTTTCATAAAAAAATTTAACTTATGAATTTAACTAGGTAAGTAAAATATTAGCTTAAATAAACATTTAGATAACTTGTAATTTATTATCTATCTAAATAAGATAAAAGATAAAAAAATAATTATTCAGATAATTTCCGACACTGGTTATTGACAGTGATGATAGTCTACACCGTTCTGGTATCTGTATCGAGTATGGTTGTACTCATACTTAATGTATTAACTTATATTTGTTATATTAACTTTTCATATTAAAAATTCAATTTCGGTTAAAAATTGTTTTTAACTCACGTTCATACACGAAAATAATTATTTATCAGTATTAACTGCATAGTTAACTGATAGTTCACTTATTACAATATTCATTAAGCGATATTATATCAATTATTTATTTATTTATTTTAATACGGGCTGCGGCTCAAAGTACGAATAGCAATTTAACATGATTAGATTATACTATTCAAAAGTTTATAAAACAGATATTACAACAAGTCAAAGTTAAAAAATAAAATTAAAAAAAAGAGACAAATTACATATTATAATGATTTAAAAATTAAAATATGAATCTTCGTTAGCAATACGCATCATCCTAAACAGTGGTTAGTTACGGGAATAATTTTCCAAGTATCTGTGAAGTATCTTATGACCCAACTAAGCTCACCATTATCGTGGAAACGTTTAAGTTCGGAGCCGTACATTACTCCAGCGTTCAAAATTACGTAGTTTCCATTTAGATTTAAGAACTATATGGACATCAGATGAAAAATTGAGCTAGACGATAATAGAACAAGGAAGGGATCAAACTCGGCCAACTCGATAAACTGAGATATAAGTACTGAATTGCCAAGCCCCGAAATAGATTATTAATATAATACAGTTGGGAAAGACAACTGAGTAGTGTTGATAATTTAATTGTTCGTACAAAATAAAGACGATTTTATTACATATGAGTCAATTAAATTAATTAAATCTATTCAAATACCAATAATTAACAATATTTTGTAAGATTATATTAATTTAAACAAATATCTTTATTTAACAAATTTTGTTGAACTATGCGTATTGTTAGACACTCGATTTACTTTTTATAATAGGTAGGTATTATACCTCACGGTAAAATAACTCCCAAAAGGTACGTTTTTCAAACCTATAAAATCGAATAATCTTGTGTACAATTACTATTACATTTCTAGGATATTCTCGTATGTATATATATATTTGTTTTATAAAAACGTCAATAATATTATTTTCACAGTCTAGCATATTTGGAAAGAAATGTTACAATTTGTCAGTAAGTTTAGAACGGTACAGCGGTGGTTTCAACCTAAGATAACCGACATTTGAGTTTGGATCCAAAACGGTACTCTGGGAGTGCGTATTATAATATAAAACGTCTGGTTAAGTAATGGGGGATTCTATTTTTTTATCCAAAAACATACGGAAAGCAATATAAAAAAAAAAAAATGGCATCAGGCAGTACTACCGGCACGAAATATATATTTCGTCAGTTATTTGCGTACGGTTGTGTCGAAGAATTTGTCTCTAGGGGATATTTTTTTCTCTTATTCACGTGACACTATCACTTCTCGGCCGCTTTCATTTTCCCTAGCTCATTTTTATACCGCTGACCCAATCCGCATGACTGTGCGCGTGCGTGTTATTTATATGGGTATACGTTTTATCTTTTACACTTCTGAAACGTAATTTGCGAGATGAATGTTAGTATTTTTGTTTGTAAAAATTAATAATGACAAAAGGTGAACGACTCTATCGTGAATTGATGACGTCATAGCCATTGATTGAAATCAATCGCCTTGACCACAACAATACTACTCAATCATCTCGATTTTATGAAATTTATTCATTCGTTTTGGACTTACCATTTTCTCGGATATGTTAGCTATCTCGCAGTGAAGCAACGCCGTGCTGCCCAACTGAACCGTAACGTTTGTCGTGCCTACATGAATAATCGGTTCGGGAGTCGGCGTGGATGGTGCCAACGTGGTGGTACGCAGCTTAATCGGTGGTTGTACCTCGTCGGCGTTCGCCGGGTCAAATACGTCTAGGTGCAGTTCATGTTCTGTAAAGTAACATAAGTAAACAACAACAAAAAAAAAAAAAATGTAATTAAACATCACAATAAATTTCTATTGTGTAATTGTGTAAATGTGTGTTTGAGATGGGTGAGTGGTAATGTTAATGTGCTTGTGATCGCGGTAATTAATAGTTTTGCGATATTATTCTAAGTGTATATGCGTACATGCTCTCGTGTGTGTATGTGTGTGTGTGTGTGTCAACTGAAACGTAATAATCGTTAGACGCATCCATCGCACTGAAAACTTCAAGTGCGTGAAATTAACATTAACGCGTCTCTTTTATTTTCACCATACTCTCACCCATCTACGGTTTAATCCTTCACGCAACAAAGCACCGAATAACCTACAACACACATGTTGTGTACATATTTTAAAAATAATTTTGAGCGAGTTTATACTTTCCTTGTATGGACGTATCGATCACCTCAAATCGACCGTGGTGAAATTCCAATTTACTGAAAATTCGCAAGTTGGTATATTATATGCTATTTGTTATTGTAGGTAGTCCTGACCCAATCACTCAATAAACCAGTAAGCAATGTGAAAATAAATGTAATTTAGAAAATACCTATTGCGTTCTTCGATAAATTTAACTTTCTATTTACAAAACATAAGATAAGTAAAAGTTATTGTTTTCGTTTAACAAATCGTGCAAATAGGATGTTATATTACTTTATTAATAAAATAAAAAAAAAAAAAAACGTGTATCATCATTCAATAAGTATTCGTATGATTGATTAATTTATAATACAATACTTCAGTTTATCAAAGTTTAAAATTAAAATTATTTAATTTGGTATGAAACGAAAATACATTCATCGTTTACTGTAGTCTATAACGGTATAAATTATTGCAGTATGATATTAAAACATAATTGAATTCTCTATATATTACTTTAGTAGTATCATCAATTGATTAAGTTTGTTTCCGATTCGAGGAAATGTACTTGTGTAAATAAATGCATGAATAATTTATAAAGTGTAAATTGCCTCATTTACTATCGATGTATGCCATTATAATGTGTGTTTAATGGCAATACCAGTTACATATTCGACGTACTACAAATGAATTGATTTCGTTTTTCTAAATGGAACAAAGCACCGTGCGTTAAGCTTAATCTATTTATGACAGTTTACTAAAACTGTTTTAATGTGTTGAACATAGGTATGGATTTACCTTAATAATTTGTCATTATCTAAGATAATATTATATTAAATTAAATTGATAGCCTGGTATGAATTTATCTATTACTTAAAATATTAATATGATAGAGTAATATATAAACAAATTATTTGTGATTAATTGCTATTAGTTCAATTATCTAACGAGATCTGACCCACAAATATTATTTTATACGTTTACTGTTTAGGTTAATCTTATATAATAAATACCACCAGACGGTTAATTAAAACTTATATTTTGGAAAACAATAATTCAACCTACTTTATTAAAATAGAAAAAAAAATATTTATATCAATAAAAACATAATATAATAATATATTCTTACGATTAATATAGGGGGACAACTGATAAGTGGTCTACGGTCCCGCTAAAAATCGTTTTCATAATAACCAATATTCAATGATTTATGATTGAATAAAATTTAAAATATTTTTTTGCATACTCATTTAAGTATGCATATAATGTTAATAAACTTTCACCTACTATATACCAGAGCAAATTTACTAAATTTATTTTTACATCCAATTTAATACATTTATCTGGCCATGCAGTTATCATTATTTTTTTTTTCAGATTGTCTTATTAAATAATAATTTAAATATGTCAACTTAATGTAAAAAATAAATTATGTTTCTGTACGAACAAAATATTACTATTAAATATAATATTACTGCTATAATTTATTTAGGTATGGTACTTAGATTAATTAGGAAATATCTTCTATACTTGATAAAACAATTAATATTTATTGATTCGTTTACTATTGTTTGGTAGAATTTTAAGTTATAACCGATATCTGAAGTTATTTAACCATTTCATTGTTCAGGATAATAGCTTAAGTAAAATATATTTGTATACTGAGATTCACGCATACAGTATATTCTGTGTATACATATATGTGTGTCTACGTGTATGTGTGTGTATATAATAATATATTATATTATATTGTTTAACATAAATGTATAGAACTCCGTGTTAATAACAAGATGTAAAATATAAGATAGATAGTCTACACTTATAACTACTATATTTATGAGCTGGTGTAAATTGAACGGATACATAACAATGAACATTTAATATAAAATATAAGAATATGATAAATCATTGTGTATTACCAAAAGTTATTATAGTGTGTAACGGTATGTTAAGCTACATTTTAAAGATATTTGAATAGTAAGTTGAACTAACTTTACATATATTATTCTTATTAACTTATAAATCAATACCAACGTACCCTAAAACAGTGTGAATAGGTACATTATATAAATATCAAATATTATATAAATAACTTAAGACTAGAATAAATATTTTGAAAATTGCATTGTTTAAAAAATACGTGATTCTTATGTGCGTTTCCAATTTTGTCAACTTTGTAACATAAATTCAAATATTTAATTGATATAAATTGTAAAAAAATTGTTATTTTTTTGCTCAGAAATAATTAAGCTATTTTAAAAATTATTTGATATCTAGTATCGGCTTATATAAATCTTTAGTATAAAAATCATGCATAATATACAATTATAAAATACTTTTAAATAAATTCAAGTACCAACAAATTTTACGAAATATTCCTGTGTTCTGTTTTAGATTTTTTTTCAAATAATTTTAGTTTCTTCTTTTAAAAGTACAATTTAGATAATCACATTTTTATCAGAAGCCACCCTTAAATATTGATGATTTTTTACTGGTCTTAACGATAGCGTCAGATATATAATAAGTGCAGTATTTTAAAAACAATACATTTATCACTCCCTTTAGAATCAAATAAAACATAACAATAATACAGTACACATAACAAATAATTAATAATATGGGTATTATATTTTTACATCCTCCAGACACATGAGCCCTATTTCCATTAATAATGTAAAAGAGACATATTCTGTCAATACAGTGTATTTTAAACTCTTATAAATAATAAATCGATTTTATTTTTCAAATACTAAGATATGAATGAGGTTATTCGAATACATACATTTTTTATTAAAAAATTATGTTATTTCTTGTAAGATTTAATCTAAATTATTATTATAGAACAGGTATAAATAGTTAAAATAAAAATTAGAATATAAACCACTAAAAAAATATATATATTTGTATGTATTTTATCATGTAGATATTCTACTTTAAAGTTTCATTTAATACAGCAAAAAACGAAATCAATTTTGTTGAAAACTTGTATTGTGTAAATACTTCTGTTTCAATAATTTTAATTTTTCCTAATAATTTTTATGAGTAGGTATACTTACTAGAAACTTTTTATTTTTGAAAAACTATGTTTAATATGCTACAGATATTACAATAAATATTAAAAATTTAAGTGTTAATTATACACATTATAAAACTCGATTTATTGGTAAAAAAATAATTGTATTAAAACATTATGGTTAAATAGAAATTCTTATAATCTTAATACTAAAAATTGTATAGGTAGTCCTAATCTACCTTATTATATGATTTAATGCTTTAATCATCATTAAATAGTTAAAACCAAAAATTTAATTTCACATAATAATTATTATTACTTAACTAAAATATACGTATAAATACATAATACTTAAGATAAATGCGTAGAAAGTGAATGAGCCATAAATTGTTTTTGAACTCACTGTAGTAGGTATTATTATTATTAATTATACTATCATTATTTTAATACTTTGAATATCGTTCAACCATTGTTTTAAAATAAAATATATTATAAAAAATGTGTTACAAAATGCATGTATAAATAAAACATATCATATTATTTTTTTTTTTTTTTTTTATACTATTATTGAACTAAAGTCCATCAACTAGAGCCATTAGCTGTTGTAGGGGTAAGGTTGGTATGGTAGGTTTTTTTTTTACGATTGTTGCGGTTGTCCCAGTTGATAACAAACACGTGTATTGGTAAGGTTTTTAACCACTATGAACCCGGGTGGTCACCCATCCAGGAGCTAGTAGTTGTGGCCATTACTTACTCCCAGTCGCATTCCACAACTAGTAGCAGACAACGCACTACGCCAAGCCATATATTTTATTATATTTATAAAAAATAAGTTATATATTGTATTTTTTATTTAAATGTACCATGTTTTTTTTTATAATCATGTATTCGTACTAATTAACTTAAAAATATAAAGGTTTATTGGAAAGGATAAAAACTTGATTTGTGTCTTGATCTCAAGACACATTACTATGATTTCTTTAGATAATTTTATTAACTGTTATCTATATATTTTATATTATATTTCACCATTAAATAAAATAGTAAGAATTTCTTAATACTTATTCCTCATATCTATTCATTATTTTAAAAAAAGTTTGATAAAGTTGATCACTGACTTTAGAGAAATAATGGGAGTAAGTATACTTAAGAAATCACTTTGTTTATTGACAGTTAAAATTTGGTGAGTCTTTTATTTCGGCTTAATAAGAAGTATTGATTTTATAGTTTATTATTATAAAAAAAATAGATTTATTTAAATTCAAACTTAAAAATCATCAGTATGATCCATAAAATAGAATAAATTAAACTTTTATTTTAAAAATGTAAATTTAATTACGTTATACTTTTTTTTCATTTTAATATTTTACTCATTTAACATACACCTTCAATATTTTTTCGTAAACTTCAAATTAATAATAATTATAATTATAATGTATTACGATCTATTGAAATTTGAAAACGTATAGGCAGTAAGCTGCACCATATAATATCTATAATATCACAATAATAATAATAATAATTTATAATTAGTTTTTAATCTAAGTACACATTATAATACATATTATGATGAATATATTAAAGTGTTATTAATAAAATTATCTTTATAAAATTAATCAATTTATTTTAAATAAATAAAAAAAAAAAAAATTATATTTCACGGCGGCACTAATTTTCAACAATTATTTACTGAGTGCATCCCTTTTTTATACACTCTAGGTACTTTCTATTAATTTTATTTCACTTTAAAACCCAAAATATAATAAATAACCACCATACTATAGATTATCTGTGAATTTCATTTTCGGAATTATCTGACCAACTCCATTATATGGTGAATGCATAACGGTAAAATTTTTACTAAGATGACACTTATACGGGCTCAGCTTATATGAAAAAAATTATGGCATTGACATCGTCGCATCGATAAAACGACTGCCATGTATTATTATGCTCGAAGTACAGCTATTCTCTTGCTATATTTATGTTTACACTGCAAATGTAATTTGTGGATGAGATTACCGCAGTAGTAATACGTGTATAATACACATCGTAATATGAGGGACGTGATATTTTTACAATATGTTCAACTGATGTATGCAAATGAAAGCACTTAAAATGGAACGTGCAAACGGATAAAAATGTACTCGTGATTGTCACCAAATCCTTTTGATTTTTTATAAATATATATTTTTTATTTTTTTGAATATGTCGGAGTAAATACAATACCAGTATAATAATATTATACAGTAATCAAATGTATAATATATATATTAAAATACGTGTTTACGAATTCGTCATGCACAAAATATTTTTGCATTAATTATTTTTAACGTAGTATAATCAACTGTAAGAAGTTATGGTATAATTCAATTGTCTAAAAAATAAAAATAATAATCATTTAAACAACTGTTCTGGCTTTGTAACAAGTATGCTATTCGCGTATAATATACATTTGAAGGAGGAAAATAATAGGTAATAGTCACTGCGATTTTGTTGCGCAACCTAATTTGTATATTTTAACGTCAATCGTTTTAATGTCGTACATATTTTTTTTATAGCAAAGTCGATTAAATCGCCCAATGAAGCGTGTTTTGTATTCTGTTAATGCCAACCCGCATGTGAGTAACATACGTTTTTTTCCACCAATTTATTCAGCTCGTAAATCATTATTACTACAATTGTATTCTATTATGGGGATAAATTGTACAAAAATACCAAATACGTACGTATTCGCTATAACAGCTTAATTTAATGATTAAATTGAAGTACAAAAAAAAAAAAACAATCACTATTTTAAAACAACGACGGGTATATAATAACCGTTATTGTTTTATTTTAGTAAAATCATTACTGCGTTAAAAATATTTTAAGATACAGTTTTATAAATCAATAATTTAATTTATAATGTATTAATATTGCTAAAAACTATGCTTTTATGTAAATTTTAAAATATTAATCACCTATTAAAAATTTATAAAAACGATAAACATTTTAATAATATAGTAACAATTTATTGGCAGAATTGTGTACATTTGTTATTTTAACAAGAATGGGCCGCTGAAAAAAATTAATAATTAAAGCTTTGAATAGCGATGAAAGCTTATCAGGATTTATCTGTTAACGGCATTGAAAATTGTATTTTATTATTTATTTATTTTATTGAAAAAAAAAGTAGTATAGACATAGAAATTACCTAATACAAAATACAACATTAATACATAAATAATTATTTCTAGAGGATAGACTTATTTCCTAATTTAACACTTAACTAAATAAATAAATACAAAGAGTTATTATAAAACGATATTGATGATATGTGTAAAAACTAATAAATTATTTAAACGATTTACCATTACCACATATTTTAACCCTTTAAATTAGGATGGTAAAAAAAAAAAAAATATTTAAAAAGCTTTTTAATTGTCATAAACATTCCATTATAAATTTTGTCATCAAAAGTGGTGTAAAAGTATTTTAAAACTAAAAATAAAACAAAACAACTATACAACTTAATTTAAAAATAATATCTACTACAATTCGTAAGTGATTATTTAAAAAAATACCCTGAAAACAATAAAATAAATACTTACATTATACTAAAGATTAAGTTTTATCATCAACATTTAAAAACAAATTTTATTTAATAATTTTTAAAGATTTGCACAATTTTAATTATGATTTAAGTTAAATACTTAATACTAATGATATTTTATATTTTATCCACTATATAAATTATCAAAATTTTATTCTTTAAATTTAAATTTAAATATTTGAAAAAATTTAATAAGTACAAAAATAAAATAATTTGTTAAATATTGTAGTGAAGAATAGATGAGCATAAGAGACTGGGAGTCTAGAGAAATAAAAAGTGAACTGTATTGTATTATTTTTAATTTTAATATTTTAATAAATTGATATGTTACGATAAATTGCATTATCATATTATAATAACTGGATAGCTATTTATTAACTAAAAAAAAATATTAAAATAAGTTAATAAAAAAATAAATAGTTGAAAATAGTTATTTTTATCGTCAATACATTTATTATACAACAGTCTATACCTAATGTTACTTTAGTCCGAGATACGAAAAGTGGCCCCTGCCTGTCACGAACCTAGCGGCCGTTTCGCCTCAGTGGTTCATAACGTAATTAAACTAATTGTCACATTTTTTTGAATTAAAAATGAATTTACAGAAAATACTTTGAATAATTTATAAACAAATCATTTGTTCATTCAAATCAAATAAAATACATTGAAAACTTAAAATTGTATTACGAGTGGCGCAGCCACGGATTATGTGGTATAGGTTGAGAATCAATGGCTAACAGGTAGGAAAACAGTAACGGGTCGCGGTACACAGGACCACTTTTCGTGTCGCGAACTTTTTTTTATAATAGATCACAAGCCACCGCAATTCCGATAACGTTCGTATAATCACTAATTTCCGGGAACCGGTCCCCACCGGACGACGCACACACACAAGCACACATGAATGCACCAATGACGTCATGGTAACATTCTCGGTGTCGGACAAATTAGCAGAATGACCCCCAGCCATAAGACATATACATGTCAAAAATAAATAATAATCACCAAAACGGCCATTACTTGTATGACTAGGTATGTATTTCTTGTCATACACTCTACCCTTTTTTTATCCTAATTATTCTTTTTGTATACAATTATTTACAGATTTCATAATAAATTATATTTTTTTATGAAATAGTAACATTTTATAATTACCTAAAAACTTTCTATGGTCGAAATCCTCATACTTGGATATATCAGCAGTCTCATTGAATGACCAGTATGGACTTATTTCTTCCTTGCTTATTTCAGCCGGAACTATCGGTTTTGCATCTGTTAACATAAAATTAAATTCTATTAACTTATATATTGAATCCTAATGCATAAAAATTGGAAATTTTAATAAACAACACATCAAATTGAGAAGAATGGAGTGGAGTGGAGTGATTTATTTATATATTGCAATGAAGATTTTATGTGATAAACGTATTGAACATTGGTATGTTCACAATAAAATATCTTGTAATTTTTTTTTTTTTCAAGAAGATCGATTTTATTTTTTAAAAAACTTAATAAAGAAAATTACAATTGATATTATAAATGTAACTTAATAAATTATAGTATTACAGATACACAGTTTATAACTATAATTATATCTAAATTATTTTATATAAACACTATGTAAATATAATTGAACTATTTTTGCATTATATATTAATATATTTAATGTCCAATTATTTTAAAGGAATTGTAAGAAAGCTAAACTAAGTGTATTAGAAAATATTCTATGGTTTACATTATTCTTAGTATTATTATAATAAATATTTTGAACAATTTATGCAAAGTTGTTTAAATTTATTATCTTAAAATAATAGTTATAAATTATAATTATATTTTTATTTTTTATAAATTATTGTATTTTCAACTAATAATTTTTTAATAAAATAATTATACAATCAAAACAATTTTTTTTTGAATTACGGGTTGGAAGTAATTTTGAAACACAAATTCAACAATTTTAAATGTTAACAGGCAAAAAAGTGATTGTTTAAAAATAAAAGTAAATATAAAACTCATTTAATTTCTTCTAATATTCTTTTAGTTTTTAGAAGTATGTTATAGTAAATTCATAAGTTAGATTAAAGTTTAATACCTGAGAAAATTATTTAAATACTGTTTTGGCTAACATTTTAATATCCAAAGGATAATTATTAGCAATAAGTGATAACTATAATTTCTAAAATGGTCATGATTATTAGATGATTTTAATTGTATTAGTGATCTATTTAGAAGATATTAGATCTGTAACTTTAATTCATGAAATAATTACAATTATAAAATAAATACATTTTTTTTAAATAAAACTATAGTTATTTATTGAAACCCAATTTAAGTGCTAATATTATGCATGTCTTATATATTATTGCTAGGTATAGGTTTGATTTATATTACAATTAATAGCTCTCAAATAATGAGTTCAAGTGTGTTTTATAACTTTCTTTATTTGAACAATAATTTATGTTTACATTGTTTTGACTTGTATTAAATATAAAAAAATTGTCAATATATGTTTTATTAAACTAGAGAATAAATAAAAATTTACTGTTAGAAAATTAGACTTAAAAATTTTCGTAACATAATATGTTTAATAAATACGGTTATGAAAAAATAAAAATAGCGTGAAATATCGTACTAATTTAAAATAGTTTACCATTGTCCATTACAATATTATTTTACCCGTGAATTCAAATGAATTATGATAGATATAACGTCACCCAAGCTGCATACTAATGCTCTTCATTATGCTACCAAGTATTCCAATTGATGGAATAATAAACTTTAAATTATCTTTGATTAAGATTGAGTGAAATTGTGTACAAATCCAGATGGACAGATATACTTAACTAATGTTAAATATCAAAAAACATACGGCAAAGAGGACAAATTGTTTCAATGTTTTAATCAAAACTGTACTTGCGGTGTTAATTCACGTTATGGTAATTTATTACTAAAGTTTGCTGGAGTTTATTATAAAGTTTGTCGTTGTAACAAGTTCCCAAGAAGGATTTTACGACTAAAAGCATTTATTATTCGCTACAGGAAGTGAAAATGTTTTCCATTTTTTTTTCCCGGACGCCACTTTTATTCTTACTGCAAAACATTAACGTTTCAAACCATAACTAGTTAAATGTAACTTTAAACTGATTTTATCAGTGTAAGAGGATATTATGTACAGCAATAATAATATACAATTTCACACATTATTTGTAAACAAATTAAATAAATAAAAATTCGTAGAAATCACACAGCTGTGTAGTCGTAAGTATCTAGAATGTTATGTCGTTAAATATGTCACTGTAATGAATGTGAACAATTTTAATTTGATGATAAATTATTACATACAAAAAATGATTTTACAGGAGGTTGTTTTTTATCCTATATTTTTAATGACACTCATTAATATATTTATACATTATTTCTAACCTTTTACTATTTTGTTCCAAAAATAAATCGCACATAATATTATAAAATATTATTAGCTATTATGATTACGTATAATTGAACATCAAAATTCAGTTTAACAGTGTTTCAAAGTTCATTAAATTAAAAACCTAAAATCGATATAAATATTTTGAAAATTCCCTTGTGAATAGTAAATAAAAATAACTGTAGTTTGTTTTGAAATATTTTATTTATTATCATGACCAGTGAAATACATTTAAATTTCTTTTTTTCTTTTTTTGGTGGGTGTTATAAAAATACAACATATGAGTTAAGAATTAATAATTATATTATTCCATTATTATTAAAAATACAAATTTGAAGTTTTTTTATAGCAAAAAAGGTAAACGTCTTTTTTCTCCAATTTAACAATAATTTCTTCAACTGTTACCAAGTTTTTTTTTATTTACCGATAACATAGCTAAATCGTTCAATCTTTCCTATAAAAAAAATATTTAATTTATTGTAAATACCAAGAATTTTTTTAAAGTTTATAATAATTTACATATTATATGCAATTCTTTAAGTATGTTTTTATTATTTTTAAATTTAAAAATGTTCTTTATTTGTCGCAGAGGAAACAGGAATCGAAACCTGATAAAATCAGTTGGCAAACTTGAACCTTTTTTTTTAATTCTGTAATAAATTTGACAACACAAGGAATCAAAATTAAGGTTCTATAATATTTTTTTGGAATATTTAATGAGGTATTGCATCCATTAGTTCATTTTTTTGTTATTCTCAGAATTTTAATTTCAATATTGAATTTTTTGACTAATGCATTGACTTCTTCAAGTATTTCCTTAAATACATCATCGACGTGTAATCGAAGTTCTTGTTATTCTTGTTTTGTATAATTTTCTTATTTTACAACCAATTAAAGATCCATATTTAGTTTTTAGAAACTTTGAAAGTGGTAAATCTATACTGTTTAAATAGATACTGTAAATCTATTTGTTTAATACGAATATTGATATCACAAATTTTTAATATAAAATAGAACTTTTAAGCCGTTTTACTTTGTTTGAAGTATCACTATCGTCACATTCGGAAATTGTATTCAATGCTTCAATGACATACTCATACAATTTAATAAAATCACTTATTGCGTGAAAAAGTTCTATTGACCTCGCTTCACAACTTCTTTCCAACGATTTTTTTTTCTGTGAATGTTTCTACTTTCTAGTGAATTTTTAATATGAAATCGAATAATTGATTTTCTTTTAGTAAAAATAAAGAAATAGTGGACTTTCCCTAAAGTCGCTAAACAGTATCGTATTTGTGTGGTGCTACATGATTTAAAAACTATAAAGTTTAACACAAGTGCTGAAATGTTATATAAATTGCTAAAGGCTATGTGTCTTTAATATGTGCTTGAACGCTAATAAATTAACTTCACATACAGGTCGTCTCATTATACTCTTGACCACGTAAATACGTAAATCGTATTTATGTGAAAATGATGTAGATTATCAATTATTAATTTAGACAATCCATTTTCTATGATTTCAATAGCAGAATCCAATTGTAAAAATTTTCATAAAGTTTAATAGTGTTTAATTCGACGTATCTTACACACAAAGGTACCTGTTCTATACCCGTGACATCGGCAGTGTCGTCAACGAGAACAAAAAAACCATTTAGCTTTGTTTTCTCTTGAAATTATTTTGTTTAATAATACTCTTTTATAGGAATCAATTATTTTGTTTTGGTTAGTAGCACACGTGTACTTAATAGTACCAGAACTTTCAAGATATGATTTTATAGCACTTTCATCATGGGCTCTAAACTGTAGAATCACCTAAAATTACCATCATTATTTTGTTTGTCATCTGAGCATACTTGAAAAATGGTCCCAGAGTTACTATGTCTTCTAAGTGCCACATTTTGCCGACCACACAAAACTAATTGCCTTGTCCATGTATTTCATTTTGAGTCAATACACCTTTGATGTAATTGAAAATATTGTATCTTTTTATCTGGGACGTGGACGACGTAGGGATATCAATATCAGAAAATGAATCTAATGAGATGGTTTTTTTTGTATATCAATTACTTTTTCTTGTGCAGGTGAAAAATTTCTGGTAGGTTTGAAAAAGAGTCTGAATATATGATTGCTTTTTAGAAGTCATAATTATTATCTGTTTAGAATAATTCATAAAAGCGTCAATATAAATATTATGTATAGTGTAAATAATATACAACAATACAAGCATTGTAAGTTGTGCATCAACCATCAAATCAAAATCAAATCATTTTCATATTTTCATTTTACACGTTACATTAAACAATAAATTAATATCCGTAAATTAAATTAATTATCAATTAGCAATTATCTTATGCCTTTACTTTCTTGATACGTGATAATAATTGTGTATTCCTATAGTTGTGTTACCTACCGTGTTAGTGAACAGTGATTCACAAATGATTCGATTATGATGCGTCGATAACAAACTGAAAATTATTACGCACAAGACACAGACAGCTGAACAAATGAAGACTGCCAATACAGTGCTTACTATAATAGACGGCGTACTAATATATATTAATATTTAATTAACTTCATTATAATCATCGTCGTCGTCGTCGAATGGCGACGACGTACCTATAAATTATCAAAAGGTAAACCCATATAATTTATACAAACATTAAAAACCCATAATATAAATTAATGTCATCTTTTTCTACACTTACGTAGTAAATTATTTATGACTTCTAAATCTTTTTTTTTCTTTCTGGGGTAGGGGGAGGGGTTGAGACGTTTCTGACCATGATAAAATTTCAATGAACTATCTGTTTTCATATATTGTAATCAATTTCGTAGAAAAAAA